GTTCTGGCACCAGTTCTCATTATTTTAACCTGAAACTCATTTTACTAGTCCTATATATTATTCTAGGAATATTCCCACACTTATTATAATTTTCTGGGATACTTCATCGGTACACATTTATACCGAGTAGCAGAACCGGTATCTGCACTTTTCGTCAGAAAAGCGACTTTCAGCATTATTAATTACTTACCAATATTATTTAAGCTTTCTCATAATTATTAGGGTCAATTATGAAATTATTTCCTAATTTCACATAATTAATTAATTAACTTCCTTAATTAACGGTGCGGGTTCTTACAGAAGGCAATGGAACAGTAAAAGGGAGCTGACCAGCCACCAAGTCACGTAGAAACTGAATAATGCCTAGGGTTTAGTGCCAAATGTTGTATTTATAGCCGGTTTAAGCTTAATCTCACTGTATTAGCGCTCATAGCCACGCTTAGCATTTTAATCCCAAACTTAGGATTCTGAATCTACTCATTTTTCTAAGATTTGTCATATTTTTATATTATTTTTCGCAGCACCTTTCCGGTATGCGCTTTTACATAGCCAGTATCAGTTGTGGCACCAGTTCTCATTATTTTGACTTGAAACTTGTTTTATCAGTCATATATATTATTTTAGGAATATTCTCATACTTATTATAATTTTTCGGGATACATCATCGGTACGCATTTATACCGTGTGGCAAAACTGGTATCTGCACTTTTCGTCAGAAAAGCGACTTTCAGCATTATTAATCACTTACCATAACTATTTAAGCCATATCATAATTCTTTGTGTCAATTATGGAATTATCTCATTAATCACATAATTAATTAATTAATTTCCTAAATTAACGGTGTGAGTTCTTACAGTCACTACCACCGCTACCATCACTATGTCACCACCATCACTACCACCACCACCACCACAATGCCACCATCGCCACCACCGTCACCAACTACCACTACCAGCGCTGCAGTCACTGTCGTTATTACCACCTCCATGCCATCACAACCACCACCACTATTATCACCACGTCATTGCCACCATCACCACCACCGTCACCAACCACCACCAATATCGCTGCAACCATTGTCGTCACCACCATCGCCATACCATCATCATAATTGTCGCCACTACCACCACCGTCATGAACCACCACAGCCGTCGCCGCCACCACAACCATTACCACTGCCATCGTCACCACCACCACCATTACCATCACCACGCCACCACTACCACCGCCACCTCACCATATGGAAAGGAAAGTAATAATCCAAAAAAATTTATGTTTCATATAATTTTTTTATTATATTATTTATTGTGTTATCAAACGCAATTCTCATTCTCAGATTAAAAATAGAATATGTTATCAAACACATTTTTTTCTCAGAAACTGTTCTAAGGTACAGAAATAGAAAAAAAAAATTGTTTCTTTTCAGAAACAGTGTCAGAAAACAGAATAGTTATCATGCACACCCTAAACCTTCAAAATACATATTAACAACTTATTATTTAAACTTTTGCTCACACCAACAAAATGTCAAGATCCCCACCAAGAAGAAATAAAACTTGTTCAATCAAATTAGATGAGTGGACTCAAAGATTATCTCATTGCCTTTATCAAAAAATATATACTATAATTTTGGGGAGTTGTAATATAAGCCAGGGAGAAAATAACGAGAACTATTACAAGTAGGACATGCATGGCAATATATAAAATTAATATTTAATTTAAACTATTAAAATTAATATATATATATATATATATATATATATATATATATATATATATATATAAAATTCATGAATATTGCAACATTCCTCAAGTATATATTCTATTACAAAATTATGCTCAATTCACAAAATTCATAATATCCTTTCCATAGCATTTCTCAATACCATCTAAGTCAAGATATTTATCAAATAGCATCATAACCAATATAAATCTTATAAAAACCATTAAACAAAGAAAGCCACGTAACTTTGTTCATTGACAATGATTAAGTAAATAATATTGCATCTTTTCGTTTATAAAGCCATTGTATGACAAAATGAAAACTAGAATATAAATATTCATAATTGTCACGACCCAAATCTGGGTCCATGAGAAGCACACAAACTAAACTTAATCTTATAAACCATCGGTTAGCCTGGAAACCCTAATTGTTATCAAAATACAATCAAATTTATAAATCTTCAACAAAAAATAATATACAAACCTAGCTCGTACAAAATGATGTGTTGGGTTCACCATTGATAATCAAATAGACACTCATGATCAAACCGGAGGAGCAGAATCAAAAGTTAATTATATGAATTTACCTTAAAAAAATAATTAAGATTGAGATGAGTTGCAATGCAACTCACTGATAAACAATAAAACCTATAACAAGCGGGACATGCCAACCTATAAAATTGATGTTTAACTTGAAGATAAATTACAGAAATTGTTTAATTAATGTTTACACAAAAACATTAATAAATATAACATAATTCAATACTATTCACACAAAAAATGTTGTTGTAATCAAACATTAAAGCTCAAAAACTAAATATGCAAACAAAATCAATTTATATTTATAAAACAAAAATTCTCATTTTACAAAAATAATATAGGTGTTCCAGTGGGAGTATATACTCAAACAGTACGTAGTGTAAGGGTGTGTGTTCAATTCCCATGTAATGCAAAAAAAATATACTCAAACAGAATTGCAACATATCAATCATATACTTCTCGCCTAATCAGACTCCTTGCCTAAAAAATGATGTAATCACAATACCAGACTCCCTGCCTAAAAATATAATCATATACAATGTTGAACAAAGTGGTTAGCATATAGTGTTCTATAAAGCCATTCCCTATAATTAATTTCAAAAACGTAAACAATAATATATACATTTGTCAAAACCAATCTTAAGCATATCACATTTTCATAAATCAATTCACAAATAGTACAATGTCTCTCAAATATTCAAACATAAAAGTATAAATAATTCTCCACAATATCATTTTGTAACCTTTCTCAACATCATAAAATCCATGTCAGATTGTCAGATGGAAACATAATTTATGCTGAAAATTCATACTTTCAAAATCAATGAAACAATAATATAAGACCTTTCAAACACTTATACTTTAAAAGTATAAAGAGATTGTCAGATTCATGATTTTTTCAAATCATTTCTCGAATATTATTAGAATCAATATAAATAATTAAGCAAAAAAAATATTACCTAACTCTATTTTAAGTCGTCTCTTCCTTTAAAAATATTTAAAACCCTTTATATTTCATTCATAAAGGTATTGTATAATAAAATAATAAATTATTTTAGAGATAAATAATCAGTTTGGTTCTTTTGGTTTTCAAATCAGTTTGAACAAAGTGGTTCAGTTCTTTAACTAATTCTACATAAAGTGGTTCAATTCTTGAACCAGTTCGAAAAAAGTACATATCTTTTGGAGTGGTTTGATTTGGTTCCCAATCTGATTCGGTTCTTTTGGATTTTCTACACACCCCAAAACTCATTATGTATGAAGGAATTAGATTTTATTTTTCATTCTTAATAAACGGATCAAAATATGATTTTTTTTTATCCAAAAAAAAATTAGATTAGAGGAAGGCATCCCCTATACGTGATCAAGAAAGACAACCCACCACATTGAGAATTTAAAGAGAGATTACATATCATTTATCAAAGGAAAAACTGAGAATCGATCCTAAGTCACAACTAACATAAGCGGAAGTAAAACTTTGTTAGATCATAGATGATAGATGTGTAATTTCAAAATCACTAAATTGTTGCCAGAAAAAGTAATTTACTCCATATTTAAATGTCATAAATATGTCAAACTTATTATCATGGCTTATATCACATGTAACAAGTGATTTATTGATATTTTTACTTTTGCGTCAAATGATATACTTGTATGATTTTGAATCTTAGAATAATATAAATGCTTTTTTTAAGAAATATCATAAAATGAGTATAAATGACTAGATTTACTAGGAATCATAATTGTTCTTTTTTTTCCTGATTTTTCTGTGCTAATAGGTTATTCGGAGAATTGATCTACGAGAAGTTTTACGCGCATAGATGTTGTTAGAAATTTCACAAAAACCCACATGGAAACATCCATTTTTCTCGCTCGTTTTCTCTATCCAACTATTAAAAATATCAATAGCTGATGTTGTTTGTAAATTCTGCCTATCTTCAGCATCGACACTTCAAAATTCTTGACATGTCGTGTCCGACACTTTTCGATACTCCGACACTCCAATACTTATTGCAAAGACTAAAAAAAGATTTAAAGATTACGTTGCGTTACATTTTGAGTTCCAACTATTAAATTCATTGGATTATGATTACTATTTTATTGAGTTTTATATAAATATTTTGAATATCTTATGTTTCTTTACAAAATTGATGGATATTATAAGTTTAACTTTATTTTTTTGTTAAATTATTGAATATTAAATATAATATACACTGCATAAATTAAAAATATTATATAATATTAAAACGTGTTCTAATGTATCAAAATTTAATATTTTTTAAAATTAACATATCAAAATATCTGTCATGTTATATCCCATATTCTGTGTCGATGTCTGTACAACATAGAATTCCGCCCAATAAAAATAAAATTATCCATTGATCTAGTCCAAAATGATGCATTCTGTGTATTTTCTCCCTTTTTGATGAGCTTGTCCTTATTAGCTGTCGTTGACATATTAATTAACAAACCCAATGGACCAAATCTTTTATCCGATTTCTTAGACAAAGTTAACTTTAGGAAGTTAAATACTTCGTCAATTTCTTATTAACAACAATAATGAATGGTTCTTTCGAGTGAAATGGTCTATATCATTAGGCCCAGTCCACCAACCACACTAGGCATTATATGAGGTCGGTCATTAGTATTTTTTTTTGTGCCGCACGCGTCCCAGAGACACTATAAATACAACGTAGCAATAGCAACAAAAATCAATTCCACTAACCCAAGTAATATTGGTTTTAATCATTGCTCATTATTAGTGATTTTGCTATCTAGCACAATACACTCTCCTGATTACAATTGCATAATAGAATGACCTCGCATGGGTATTTCTCTGTTGTCTTTGTGTTTGCATGTCTTGCAACCACAGCATTCTCACAACTGTCACCTAATTACTATGACTACTCGTGCCCTAAGGCTTTGAGCACCATCAGAAGTGTCGTGGATGCTGCCGTACAGAAAGAGCGCCGTATGGGCGCGTCTTTACTACGCTTGCATTTCCATGACTGCTTTGTTAACGTAAGACTCTTTGTATTTATGTGTGCATATATATATATATATATATATATATATATATATATATATATATATATATATATATATATTAGTTCTTAGTTGATGTAATTGTTTGAGTGTGATAAATAACATGGGTTTTGTGATGGTGATGATTCAGGGTTGTGATGGTTCAATTCTTCTAGACCCCACATCTACCATTGATAGCGAAAAGAATGCAAACCCTAATTTCCAATCAGCTAGAGGATTTGAAGTGGTGGATGAGATCAAGCAAGCAGTGGACGAAGCATGTGGAAAACCGGTTGTTTCTTGCGCAGACATATTGGCTGTTACAGCTCGAGACTCTGTTGTTGCGGTGAGTAATACTATTTATATGTATACTTTACAACTTTATACTCCTTAATTTATTATTATAACTTTTTTTTTGAATTATTCGGTAGTTAAATTTTCATACGCAATCACTACCATCGTTTTTTTTATTGGAAAACTTTAACTGAACAGCCAAACAAAACTTAGGCAATACAAATTTTTCTTGGCACTGACTGACACACACATATATATATATATATATATAATGTTTATTTTTTAATTCTTTTAAATTATTATTTAATTTTTTTTTCTTTATTTGACTTTCTATTCTTATCCTTCCATCATATCTTGACTTTTCTACTTCTTTTAACTTTTTATTTTTATTTTTATAATTATTTTTCAAATTTTTAAATAAATAGCAGTCAAACTGCATTATTTGTTAATATGAAGTTTTGATTCAGTTATAAATTTTAATTGAATACATATTTTTTAAATCTATATTTTTCTAAAAGCTATTAATTTAAATATAGAAAAAGATCTGTTTACAAATTCTTTTATTTACAAACTTACAAATTATACTATGTCTGACCAGTAATACTCTACTCAAAAGTGTATTACCGGTCAAACATAGTACAGTTTGTAAGGAATTTGTAAACAAAAAATTTATAAATATAATCTTGTCCGTTAAATATATATATTAAACTTTTATCTATCAAATAGAAAAATTATTGTTATGAATGTTATTAAACAAGTATATATGTGCATGCACCAATGCAGTTAGGGGGGCCAACATGGGATGTGCAATTGGGGAGAAGAGACTCAACCACAGCAAGCCGTGATGCTGCAAATGCTGAAATTCCAGCACCATTTTTCAACCTTTCTCAACTCATCAGCAACTTCCAAAACCATGGTCTAGATGAGAAGGACCTTGTTGTTCTTGCTGGAGGACACACCATTGGATTTGCACGTTGTGTTTCATTTAGGGACCATATCTACAATGACTCTGACATCAATCCCTACTATGCACAACAGCTTAAATATATTTGCCCAAAAAATGGAGGTGACTCCAACCTTTCTCCTTTGGACCCAACACCTGCGCGATTTGATGTAGCATACTACTCTGATTTAGTTCAAAAGAAAGGTCTTCTTCACTCTGATCAGGAACTGTACAATGGTGGTTCTACTGATGCATTGGTTAAACAATATAGCTACGATACTACATCTTTCTACAAGGACTTCGCGAACTCCATGATTAAGATGGGAAACATTCAGCCCCTCACTGGGAATCAAGGTGAAATTCGTGTCAACTGCAGGAAACTGAACTAATTCTTTTAGAAAATTAAGTGAATTGAGGAATAAGTATGTATTATATGTACATACATATATACATAATGGAAATCTAAAGGCTGAGCATCTTTGTGCAATAAGCTCAAGGGATAAAGAGTATTTATATATTTAATATTCAATAAAGTACCATGTCATTATGATAGAAATTCTGTAAAAAAAAAAAATCTTTTTATCTTGTATTTTCATTTTTTATTTTATGCATGTTTGAATTGTTGGGAAGTAAATTGAATCAACAACCATAATTGAATGCATTACCACATTTGGCTACAATAATCAATATTATACCGTTTTATCATTATCACGTGGTGCATTATATATGGGCAAGAAAAAAAATTGCCATTTACCTAAATTATTAAATCATAATACACAGAAATTTTATGACATTACAAAAATTAATTATTTCCCATCTGAAACTGTATCATAATCAATCCATGCCATTAATACTTACCATTCAAATACATATCATTCCAAACCGTCCATTCACATAAAAATTTATTATTGTACATGACCCATCAAATGCACAAAATAACACTATTTTGACTTTCAAATTCCATTTTACCGTGTGTTTTACTTTTTATCAAACATTGAAAAGGTATTTTGCTTCACGCCTTTCTCCAAGTATCAATGTACGTTCAACATGAAATAATAATTAATACAAAAAAAAAAAAAAATTAAGTCACTGGGGTTGGTCTGAGAGGTTTGGATAATTTATATAAATTATGTGTTCAATTCTCGTATAAAAAAACATCAAATAATAATTACGCATCAATATTATTCAATAATACATGCATAGGAATAAATGCATGTCAGGGCCTGTGTTCACACCATCAAAGATTGGTATTGAAACCAGTCCACCACACCATACAAAGTATTGAAACCATCAATGATCAAACACCGTCACGTGATTGAAACTCACGCTCCAGCCAGCAAATCACAGTTATCATTAATTATGTGCCAATATAAATACCGCCGTTAACTGGCCGTGAATAAATACTTCTTCCAATTTCTTATTCGTCATTATTTTTTTCTTTATGTCAGGTATAATCTTATTTTATTTCTACCAATACCGCTTGAGTGTTACAATAAGTTACTGAGATCGATAAAGATTATTTATTTATTTGATATTCAACAAAGTACAAATCATCTTGATAGGAATTCTGTCCAAAAAAATCTAATTATCTTGTATTTTCATTTTTTTATACATGACCGAGTTGTTGGGAAGTAAATTGAATCAACAAGCGTGCGTGCAAAGCAAATAAAAAAAAATAGCATTGCTACACAACTAAAAAAATGACAAATTTTAGTCAGAATTTATGAAAATGATGGGCACCCCTTATCTATCCAGAAGTCAATTATAATACCAACTTATTCTTGCAAAAAAAAAAAAAATGGTTGTGTAGGATTTAAATATATATATATATATACACACATATATATATATATATATATATTTATATTTTAGAAAAACAGCCCCAATAAAATCATATTATTTAAGTTCTAAATATAGTAAACTATATCGGAGGGTTGATTCGTAAAAAAAATTAAATTAAATATCTCACCAGGCCGGGCCTTATTGCTTAGTTTTTGGTATTTTGTTTTCGAAGAAAAATAAGCTAAAAATTGAATTTTTAATAACCACTACGCTAGAAACATGCTTTTTGTAAATAGGTAGGATTGTGTAAGTGTTGGGTTGGTTTTTGGATTTAGGGGAAAAAATACTGGATCTAAGTCCCTATTTATTTTTGTTTAAAAAAATCTAATTATACAGTAATTAAATACAATTAGAGATTAAATATGGCCATCAACATCACTGGATACCTTATTGTGGCAAGTAAATACCCTATTTCTGGGAACTTAAATTCGGGCAAATTATTCTCACTAAGTAGCACCACTTATAATATGATGTATACTTCCTCAATCATAACAAAATAAAAGTAAATGTCTTACCTTCATAGAGCAATGAAATAGTTTGGTGCTTACGGAAGCCAGGTTTTGTAATGCTTTTTTTTTAATAAAGAGAAAAACTACTACCTAATAAAAGAGAATACTTCTTTCTCCACCTTCTGATTTGGATTCTCTAGCTGAAAGCTTCTCGGCCGTCTCTTCTTAAAAATTAATAAAAATAAATTATAATAAAATAAATCTTTAAATTAAAGTTGAATTTTGTAACAACATAAAATGTGATAATTAACGTTATATTTTTCTGGAAAAAAAATTAGATAGGGAAGTTTAATCCCTCAAGTTGGATCACCCTTAAGAGAAACTTTATTCAAGATGATAGGTTGAGTAGGATTTGAGTAAGTATTTGTCTCTTTGCTGAAAAGACTACCAATATATAGCTCGATACATTAGGGGCCATATTATACTTATTTCAACTACTCTATCTTTCCAATCTGGTTAATGACATTTAGTACAACGTGATCTCAAGTAACTGTTTTGGTTAATATTTAAACTTATTACTATAAACATACCCCACATCACATGCTTATTCACCAATAAATCAATCCGTATCGTTTACATAATGTTATATTAGGTTCTTGGAATTATCAATATTTTAAACGAATTCCAATTTATTATTAGTTTCACGGTTGAAATTGAAGCATATGCGAAGCAGCATATAGAATGCATATGAATTTGAGTTTCTAGTAGAATTAATGTTGCACCAAGAAACAAATTTGTCATTAGTGCGTGCAACTGATCATGTAATTTGCTTTATTTTAATAAAAAAAGATACACTTTTATAATTTAATTATAGTTTTTTAGAAAGGAAATTTTTATAAGGTTGGCTAAAAGAATATATCTTTTTTAGATTTTTTAAGAAATTATTCTTCCTAATTTTTTAGAAAAGTATCAAAACTGCTTTTTATATTTCTTTTTCTAAAAAAAATACTATCAAAAAAATTTAAATATATTTTTAATCAAAAAAAATCTTTAAAAAAATACAAAACAACGAGCGGATTATTTGCTACTTCCTTAGCTGCTCGGTTGAGTTCATGGATTGAATGTAAACAAAGACCCAGTGGTTGAATGAGATTTTTAAATATATATAATTGAAGTCTTAGATTCAAAACTAATTGTTATGTAATATATTAACTCCAAATATAAATTTCGTAAATATATCAAACTCATTATTATTATTTACATCACATTTGAACAGCAATAATAATATTAATAATAATAATAATAATAATATAATGTAAGTATTTTTCACAAATATATAACTTGGGTACAACTAATTAACGTGATTAAATAGGATTCGTAATATACGGAATTGATCTAGTCGAAAGGAATGTATTCCATGTATGTTCCCATTTGCATGAATTTGTCTCTATTCGTCGTGTGGTTGACGTCATTATCAATTAACAACTCTCCAATGGACTAAATCAATCACGGACAAATTATTACACACTAAACTTAATTTAGGAAGTTAAGTACTTCCTTAATTCCTTATTAAAATCTATTACGAATGTTTCTTTCGTCTGAAATGATCTTTTCTCTAGGTATGATATAGTGCAATTATTGGTACTTTTTCCATTTCACACGTCCCAGAAGTTCTATAAATAATACAATGTAGAAGCAGCAATCCAAACAAATTCCCATAACCCAATAAATTTTGGTTCATTCCTTAATAGAATGGTCTCGCATACATATTTCTCTGTTGTCTTCCAAGTCGTTGTGTTTGCATCTCTTGCAACCACAGCATTCTCACAACTGTCACCTAATTACTATGACTACTCATGCCCTAATGCTTTGAGCACCATCAGAAGTGTCGTGGATGCTGCCGTAGAGAAAGAGCGCCGTATGGGCGCTTCTTTGCTACGCTTGCATTTCCATGATTGCTTTGTTAACGTAAGACATTTTGTATTTATGTATGTGTGTATAAATATATGGGATAATAGGTTGTGATGTTGCACGAATTAGAAATCTCTTACGAACTAATGATTATAATATTACAAAAAAAAAAATTCATACCTCTTATAATTATATATTTTGAAGAGATATAGTTATAATATTAAAGATTATTTTTTCTTATATTATAACTATATATTTTTCAAAAAAATATAATTTGCCAGAGAATTTCAAATTCATGTAATATAAGAAAAAAGGGACTCCAAATATATGTATGTATATTAGTTTTTTTGTCTGATAAATAACTTGATTCTGTGATGGTCATTATTCAGGGTTGTGATGGTTCAATTCTTCTAGACCCCTCACCCACCATTGACAGCGAAAAGAATGCAAACCCTAATTTCCAATCTGCTAGAGGATTTGAAGTAGTCGATGAGATCAAGCAAGCAGTGGACGAAGCATGTGGAAAACCAGTTGTTTCTTGCGCAGACATATTAGCTGTAGCCGCAAGAGACTCTGTCGTTGCGGTGAGTAATACCAGTTATTCCTAAATGCTATGTTCAATGTTGATCTTAATATTTTATAATTTTATTACGTTTAGTTTTCTATTTTTTGAGTTAGTCTATAGCTAAATTTTCACCATTCATTACCATGTCAAATATATGAGTTGACATAAGCTAATGAAATGCTTTTTTTGTTTTTTTGTTTTTTTTTTTTTTGGTCACGGAAAACTTTGCCTGAACGCGGGAAAACAAAATGTGACATAATATAAATTTATTTCTTCCTTGTCTCTCACAGACTTAGTAAACATGCGTAAGACTCAAATATTTAAAACTGAATACTCAGATTAAACCCTCCCATATATAAATCAATCGTCGAAAATGTTATAGTTACTACCTTTTTTTCTTACTACTTGTTACTACTAAATCTTAACCATTAATTTCCGTCAATTTAACGGTTATAATTTATTGGGTCATATTTATTAATTAATTATTAATTCTAATAAATTATAACCATTAGATTGACGAAAATCAACAATTAAGATTTGGTAGTAATAAGTAGTAAGAAAAAAGTAGTAACTATAACATCTCCCATAAATCGTGACAAAAGTTTTATTTCGTTTATCTGTTTGGGTGATATATAGCACGTGCGGTAATTTTGAGTAGTGTATATTCTAATGAAATATATTTCTTTGTATTTACAAAAAAAATATATATATATATTTCTTTGTCTCTCATTGACTTAGTAAACATTTAATAATATTTGAATATTTAAAATTGGATTCTCAAACCTTCCCCCAAATGGTCAAGATAAGTTTTATTTCATTTATGTTTTTAGATTGAAGCCACGGTGGGTTGATTCATACTCAAATGAAATTTGAATATATATACAGGATACTCATACACCAGTGTAAAAATAAGAAGTTTTATATTAAATTTTAATCATTGATTTGCTAACATCTGATGGTTCAAATATTTAATAAATCAAAATTATTATATATAAATAAGATCAATGATCAAAATTAATAGTGTAACTTACATGTACTGATGTAAAATAATCATGACTCGATATAAAGCCTTTAAGAGAACTTAACATCATTTTTAGTAACATGAACGAAAATTGAGATTAAGAAATATGTGCATGCACCATGCAGTTAGGGGGCCCAACATGGGATGTGGAATTAGGGAGAAGAGACTCAACAACAGCAAGTCGTGATGCTGCAAATGCTGAAATTCCAGCACCATTTTTCAGCCTTTCTCAACTTATTACCAACTTCCAGAACCATGGTCTAGATGAGAAGGACCTTGTTGTTCTTGCTGGAGCCCACACAATTGGACTTGCACGTTGTGTTACATTTAGAGACCATATCTACAATGACTCTGACATCAATCCCTACTATGCACAACAGCTTAAATACATTTGCCCAAAAAATGGAGGTGACTTCAACCTTTCTCCTTTGGACCCAACACCTGCGCAATTTGATGTAGCCTACTTCTCTGATCTAGTTCAAAAGAAAGGGCTTCTTCACTCTGATCAGGAACTGTTCAATGGTGGTTCTACTGATGCATTGGTTACACAGTATAGCTATGATTCTTCAGCCTTCTACCAGGACTTCCCAAACTCCATGATTAAGATGGGAAATATTCAGCCCCTCACTGGGGATCAAGGTGAAATTCGTGTTAACTGCAGGACAGTGAACTAATTCCTTAAGAAAATTTAGGTAAGGAATAATTATGTGTTATAACTAGATAATTAGTTATATACTGGAAATCTATACGCCAAGGATAATTGTGCATTTATATATGTAAAAATAAGATGTGTATCCTTTATGATATACATGGAGTGCTTTCAATGTATGCTTGTGTGAATTTTAAAAGAAATACAATTCCGGATCATTATTCTTTTATGAATGAAACATAGGCAAAATAAATAAATATTAATTGATAGGATTTGGCTGTATTAAAGATGATTGTCTCCATACCAAATGATAATAGCTTAGTTGGATCATGAGAATTGAGCAAGTGAAAATGAGAGCATGTGTTCGATCCTCTTTCCAATATTATTTTTAGAAAGGATTAATTTAAAGCCCCGGATAAGATTGCCTTCCACATGAGCACACATGTGCCAAAAAAAGAAAAAAGACGATTGTTAAGTTAAAGCGGATCCAAGCTAGGAAATAAAAACGTGAGCAAAGCTACACAACTGAAAAAACAAAAATACAAAATTTAGCAGAATTTGTGAAAAAGGTGGGTGTTTTAAGCCCTGTGAACTGTTTTATTATATCTTTTTACATTTATGAAAAGTTATTTGGGCCGGGCTTTGAAGAGTAGATAATTCACAAATTAACCCATCTTTTGGTTTAGGTTGTGCTTAAATTTAACTTGTTTTTATAAGGAAATTCCGACGGTAAAGATCCATTATTATAGATTACCTGGTCATAACCTCTAAATATAATGTTATGTAACCAATTATTCTTCGAAAAGTTTAAGTGACTTTGGAGGAGAGAATGGAGACCCACAAAAGTCAATTATAATACCAACTCATTCTCTCACAAAAAATTATAGTTTTATAGGATTTGTTTTTTTGAAAAAATACTAATAAACGACCCAGTAAAAGTGTATTATTATCGCACCTGAGAGAAATTTGGAACCTTAAGAAAAATCTAGCTAGCCAAGCATGAAATTGTGTAAGATCTAGAAAAAACTTAATTTTGAAAGTTTCCTTGTTGGGCTGTACGTGAAATGGACACAAATATATCTGCTAGAGATGAAGATTTTAACGCAAAGCCTATACGAAAAAAACATCTGAACCTCGTCTATCATTGGTAAAAGAAACTGATGATTAAGTAATAATACAATCTACCAATATAATTTTATTCATTTACAGTTGATAAGGGAAAAAATGATAGTTTATGCAATTTTCAATAAAAAAAATTTATTTATCCATTACTTGACTTAATCTGGTTTGAGCACAACTGGATTTATATTTGGGAAGATTCTCTTAAAATCTTTTTTTTTCTTCTAAAGTTTCAACTCAAGACCTAAGGTAAATAATATCTTTGCATTTTGAACCAATGATAATAACTTAAATAAGTAAACCTGATGTAAAGTATTTAAAGTTTACCCTTAAGATTATTAGTCAATGTCTCAATTCATTGTCCAGGTCAAACCGCATGAATTATACCAGTATGACCAAAAGTAAATTTTTAAGTTGACAAAATAATTGTTAAGAAAATAATTAATCTTATAATTGACTGTTTGAACTTTGAATAATCGAGACTCAAATTTGCTTAGGTATCCTTGTATAAAACACAACTTTTATACTGTCCAAACGATTTGTTTGGCAATTAATTTTAACATTTTTGCATTTTTCATTATTATCGCATCAAAAGTTTTTTTTATCTTTTAATACCTTATTTTGGGAATTAATGTTTCTCATATTAATTATAAGAGATAATTTTATCTCCTACACACACAAAAGTATACGAGGGTATATGGGGTCAATATGAGGCCATTTAAAGAGAAAAGAAATAAAAAGAAAATATGAATCCTATACACTTTTATGTATGTGTAAGAGATAAAATTATATCCTATAATATAAAAAATATTAATTATAATAAAATATGGGTTTGATCCGGTGGGAGAGAGAAAAGTGTTAGAATCAAGAAATATTTATGTGGTCTCTAAGTAAGAAAAATGTTGAATGTTCTATTTTAATAACATTTAAAATATTACATTTAAAATTACACACATGTTAAATGACATAGAATAAGAGTAAAAAAAAAATTAAACGCACTTGATTTTTTTTTTAAGTTTTATTATATTTTCTTAAATCATATTAGGATATGATGAAAAGTATAAGTGTGGGGTGTGTTTGGTTTGATATTTATATTTAATATTTTTATTAAGAATTATTTGGTGCAGTCACAAATCACAATAGCATTTTACAATATGACACTTGGTCATCTGAGGGTAACACTCAAGTCAAGTCAAAACAACGATCCCATGTTTTACCTTTTTCCATGCAAAGCATAAACAAACCAAAGGAGCACATAGAAACTGGTTTTGAAAAGACCAACAACAAAACCATGGGAAGCGAAAGTTCACTACCCTTCTTCTTCTTATATAGCATTCAAAAGCATTCAACTTAATTGCTCCAACCCAATGAAGCAGCATTTTACTGGCTTCACAGCATAGAACATCTATTCTATATATAAGAGTGTGTAAGATACTAACATCATGTGGAGATGCATCAATGGAAGAATTGCTAGAAGATTTTTATCCACTGCTTCTGCTAGTACACGTGGCTGGTGGGATCATGTGAGACCAGCACCAAAGGACCCCATTGTTAGTGTAAATGAGGCCTTTCTTGCTGACCCTTTTCCCCACAAGATCAATCTTGGAATGGTAGGTAACCTCTTCTTCTCCCTTTATCACTTGTTTTCAGCTTGCTAGAAAAAATGCTTATATCTAATCACCACTTTTTTTTTAATCCCTTTTTTCTGTGTACTTTATAAGGGTACTTACAGGGATGATGATGGCAAACCCTTCATTCCTCAGTGCGTTCGTGATGCAGAAACAAAGATTAAAGCGAGGTTTAAATTCGAGTGAGTCTTAGATTTTCCTTCTCGTACTCATGTTCAGTGTTGTTGGTTTCACTACTGTTTATGGTCTTAAACCGTTTCTTATTCCAGAAATTGATTCTATCTTACTTGTAATTGTAATGTCTTGCTTCTTATTGTTGATGTCAAATCATGATCACAATATGTGCATTAGTTATTGTTGATGTCAAATCATGATCACAATATTTGAAGCCAGATAAGTTGGGTTGTGTATACAGAACTTAAACTCTCTAGTTAGAAAATATTTTGGACAAAATTACTCCTCAAGTATATGATAACCTCAACTAGCTTGGCTTTTAATTTATTATTATTATTTGTCATTGGCAACCCGATATAAGACAATATGAGTTCAGGGATGGATGAACAGCCAAAAGAGCAAGGGTTTCAATCATGGAGAAAAAGGGCCAGAGCTGAATAATTATCATGCGATTAGGGATTAGTCCCATATAACTCTATCTGAAATATGACCGTATTAAACTTACGGTTTTTACAATACATGGAAATACATAAGATGAAACAACACCTTCTAAAATATTAGCTCGAAGGATTTTTGGTGCTTATCTGCACTAAAAGCTTGTAGATACCATAAATAATTTGGTACAACAAAACAATACATATCTTATACAATGTGCAGAATATTTATTTCACGCAAACATTTATAACAATTTACATAGTCTGTGCTCTGTATCATCTCTTGGTTCAACAAATGAGAATTAAGATAGAGAAAGTTCCCTCAAGGATGAATTAATAGTGGAGTCCAAATTTCCTTCTTATTAAACTGTGATCCCAATTATATTGAATAAAACTTTCTTATGAGTTGCAGATTTATTGCACTGTTAATTTTGTAAAAGCCCTCTCTCCAACGGATGATGTTGTTCTTCATAAATAATTGTGTTGTCTCTCCTGATTTTATGTAACATACTCTAGTAACAATTATGCTTCTATGAACATTTTTGCCTTCTCAAAAACGAGTTTGATATGGGGTATTGACAGGGAGTCAAACTATTCTGCAGCAAGTTCAAAATTTGTTGAGGAGAGTGTAAAGTTGGCATATGGGAAGGATTCATATGTAATCAAAGAAGGATTGTTTGCTGGAGTTCCATCTCTGTCTGGAACTGGTGCATGTAGGCTTTTTGCTGAATTTCAAAGGCATTTCTATCCTCATTCTCAAATTTACCTACCAGATCCTACATGGTCAAAGTAGGTCCTTCACAGTGCATTATTCTTTGATATTTCTTCTTTCAACATATCTAACACACTATGTTTGTATGCCATAGTCACCACAACATATGGAGACAAGCTGAAATTCCGGTCAAAACCTTCCACTACTACCATCCAGATACAAGGGGTTTAGATTTTCCTGCCCTCATAAATGATGTCAAGGTATAAGAATCTAATTATCAAAGTCATGCATGATGTTGAGGATCATGCTAACTTTACTATTTAGAATAGAGAGAAGCTCTGGCATCCATTCCATGCTTCTTGGATTTTGGATATTATCAAGGTAGAATAGATGCATTTAATGTTAAACAATGAAATATATTTTTGGTTGCTGAACATACTGTGCTGAAAGGCAATTTAAGTTGACAATGGTATATTTTCCAATACAAATGTGGTATAAAGAACCTTTAATTTTCTCTGTTTATTTTCTATTGGTGATTTCAGAATGCACCAGATTGTTCTTTCTTCTTGCTTCATCCATGCGCCCATAACCCAACTGGGGTTGACCCCACTGAGGAACAATGGAGAGAAATATCATACCAGTTCAAGGTGATGATGACAAATGAGATGCTTTAATATTGCTTTACACCATGTAACATCCCTGTCTCGAGCCGGTTCAATTAACATACATATGATAAAACAGAAAACAGCGGAAGACTTAACTTCTGAAAATACGAGCTAACTTTTTTTTCTTTTTAAATTCTCATTCGTCGTAAACGAAAATCGGGCAGAGTTTCCTCTATAAATCGGACAACTGGGGATTTTCCAATCCCTCACAGAAGCATTTCCTGATAAACAGTTTATACAAATATAATCAAATGCCCATCCATGGGCGCATGCATAACTTGGCTCAGTGCCACTATATCTAACAGCATGCAATCCAACACGTAAACATATCTGAATACTACCTCATCATATAACGTGCCTGAATACCCAAATGTACATGCATCAAAGCGACAGACATGTACAAAACATATACAGGCCATATACACAATAAAGGATCAATATCATGATCCATCAAATGCGAAAATACTAAAATACATCAAACACTCCAAAAAGGTAGTAGCCTACAGCCACTCAAAATCCAATCTGTCAACTGCCTCAGCCACGTGTCGTGTCCCTGCCTAGTGAGGACTCACCGGGAATCTGGGCACCTGAAAATATGTCCCCAAAGAGGGGTGAGATTACAAATCTCAATAAGCTCCAGGTTTATAGAGAATTCTCCATACCCCTGGCTCACTCCTGCATGAAAGTCAGATACAGAGTATACAAATACAACATATAACAGATATCATAACAGAACAGAGCATATATCCATATCATATCAGAGATGTGCGCCGTCATTCCCAAGGGAGGACCCCAAGCGGAAATCAACGCACGTGTTCCCGAGGGAGGACCCCAAAGCGGAACCAGACATATCAGAGGAGTACACCATCAGTCCCGAGGGAGGACCCCAAAGCGGACGTCCGGGTACTATACAATCAATGGCCAGAGATTGTTACAGAAATCATATTACAGAAGTCATATCAGAGCAAAACATATCATGTTATCAAATAACTCTATATGAATGCATCTATACAAAGCATCTAAATCACAGTCATACAGTCCAACCATAGTTCACTAACCATGGTGGAGCACTCAAGCAGGAAAAGACTCCTTAAACATAGAGCTTACCTCTTGAAGCTTTACCAATACGCTTACTTGTGGAACAAGTTACTTTTATCGCTTCAAGAGATTTCCGATCCTTCTCAATCCCTAGGCACACCTAGAGAATAATTTACAATGCATCAATAGAATGATGCAATACCATAATTATTTCGTAAGCATACATTTTATCGCTTATTTTCCTTTCTTTGCATTTTTGACAATCCTATGCCAATACACAAGTCTAGACCTCTTTATAACCGTTGGTGTTCTTTAATTTAATCAACCATTCCCTTAGGAATTTTCAACATAAATCATGCTATTTTTCTTCAAAACTCATCACCTTTATACAATTTATTACAACACATTTTATTTAAAATAAAATGTACAAAATATATCCCTAAATACCCTATAGGTCGAACACTATAAGGAAATAGGCAAGGGTTCTTTTCTTTTTAATTAATGTAACTTACACATACAAATGTATGTTTCCCTATTATTTCAACTTAATGTTTGGACATCAAGTCCTTCCCAACACCTCAAGGCCGAAGTGTAGGATCCAAAATACATAGGATTTTTCCCTTTTGGCCTTCTCACTAATTTCACCAATTCTATTCTCTCTCAAGCACCTTAGGCTCTCTTAATACATCATATAAATTTTTTGCCCAATGGTCCCTATTCAACCTATCATGGCCGAACTTAGGGGAGTGCAAACCAAGGGAATTTTTCTTCATTTAACACATGTTGATGTTTCTCTTCTACACTAAGACTTCCTATACAAAACAAGCTATCATAATTTTCAAGTTTTATACTACTTTCTTTCTCACCCACACATGCTCACAAATTCAAAACATAGATCACAAAATAAAATCATAGGATTAGAGTTTTGTTACCTCTAATCACCTATCCAAAACCTAGAAGACATTCACCAAGAGAATCTCCATCAAAAGCTCCATTTTGCCTTCTTGATGAATAGTGCCACGCAAAGGGGGAAGAGAATATCTCCTCACACAAACAATGATAGTTCAAACTAATGGTGGGAATGGATTCATTGGACCTTTTCCTATGAGTTTCATGTGTAGCATAAAGCTTTTTGATGATCAAATGAGTGAGAATGGAAGGAAGAAAGAAAACAAAATGAAACCTAAGCCAAACCTTCCATGTGAGACAACCACGGGAATGACGAGAAGAATGAAGAAAAGCAACGCATGAGAGAGAACTTTAAAGGGAGTTATGGCTTTTATAAAGTTAACTTATTTTAACTGGGTAAAGGTTTATCTATCTACACACCTCCATTCATTACTAAACTTTGCACACTAGTCCAGAATATTTTTATGCTAAAATTTATAATTTTACTTTTTACTTTCGGGTAACTTTATTTACCCGCATTTTTACTCCTTAACTGTCATTTTAACTCCTTTTTCACCAAATGTGACTTTATTTCTTTTACTTCTAATTATTCTTCGATATTATATCCACAATTACTAGTAAGGGTTATTATACACCACAAGTCTAAATCAATTATAATATTCACACATTTATTATTTTCCAGGTGAAAAATCATTTTCCTTTCTTTGACATGGCTTATCAAGGTTTTTCAAGTGGGGATCTTGACAAGGATGCCATAGCACTTCAAATTTTCCTTGAAGATGGGCATTTGATAGGTTGTGCTCAGTCATTTGCAAAGAATATGGGATTATTAGAACATAAAGTTGGTTGTCTTAGGTAAGAAAAGTTCTATATGCTAGTAATTAGAGGCATAGCAAATGCTATGATCTTTAGAATAGAAGTTATATGTCAAGGCCTTAAGTACATGATTTGATGATATATCTTGAAGCTCAATTTTGTACTAATGTTGCCAATATGTTTAATTGTTTTGATTCTTATGTTCTTTTCAGCTTTACTAATCTACATTAAAATCTATAATAGTGTTTTGTGCAGGAATATAAAGCAAGCAACTGCAATGAAAAGCCAACTGCAGCATATTGCCCATTCAATGTATAGTGGTCTTCCATTTCGTGGTATTTTACTAGTTAATGTGATATTAAGTAACCCAGTTATGGAAGCACTTTGGAGGAAAGAAGTGAAGGTAATATAATATATATACAGCTTTTAAACATTTTGTGCCCTTTTTCTTTTTCTAAATTGATTTAGGCTGTAATTACACTTGATGGCAATATCATTGTTTGAAGGTCATGGCTAATCGAATTCAAACAATGAGAGCTACTCTGCGACATTGTCTTGAGAACTTGGATTCATCTTTCAATTGGGAGCATATAACTACTCAGGTTTACAGTGTTTGATTTTGTATTCTGTATATGCAGTTACCTTATGCTTGAGAAAACATCTTATAACTTGAGCGCACAATGGTACTCTTTAATGCATATACAAATGCAGGTTGGTATGTTCTGCTTTTCAGGATTAACCCCTGATCAGGTTAAACACCTGGAGAAGCTGTTCCATATATACTTGACTCCTGATGGAAGAATAAGGTGAAATTTAAAGGAAATACTAGCAATTTCAACCATAATTTCATTAGATAATTACGGCTGCGCTAGAGAATATTCTTCCTATAACTTCATGGTATACTTGCAGCATGGCTGGTGTGACGACAAGCAATGTGAATTATGTGGCAAATGCAATACATCATGTGACCAGAATCAATGAAGAAGCCTTGTTCATGGAACAATAAGCACTAATTGATCTTTTGTGCCTTATTTTGATCCAAAGATACATTTACCATTTTTGGTTTTACTTCATGTAATTCTCTATATACCTGGCATACAACATACCAATTTGGTAAAAATATAAAAGTCAATATTATCGGATTATTGTGATCATTATTTAAAAAATTTATTTTATTAACACAGCCACGTATTAAGTGATGAATGAAATCGCAGATTTACTTATAGAAACACTATGCCTTATTAAACAGTTATGCATCTTAACTGACGACAGCTTTTGACATTGCTTTTCTTCTTGGCCCAGTTGGCTTATTTTCCTTCCTTTGTAATCTCTTTTTTGTTTTTTTGGTGAATATGGAAAATAAAAATCTAAAACTGAGGTTGATGACTTCTCAGCAATCTCCTTCGATCCCTTAAAAATCTAACCGGGATCACTAAATTTTGCATCATATTGAAATGTCAGTACAGAGATGTTAACTAATGTTGCTAACTTTATGAACCATAATACGTTGTAAAATTGGTTATGACCTGTCCATTTACGTACACCTCTTTAAAGTAAACAGACAAAAAAAACAGTTGAGTAGTGTTGCACATTCTGAACAAGAAGTGGTGTGCAAATAGCTTTTTAGTCCTTTAATTATTTGCATAAACTGAAGATATGTCCCTTTATGAGTAGAGATAGTTTGTATATGAATCCTTGATCGTGACACAAGGGAAATGTTAAACCAGAAAATAACACAAAAGTATATATAATCTTCCTTTGCCTACACGACACAGCAACAAGCCATTCAGGCCAAATTGATAGCGTGATTGTAACATTAGCTTAGTAGGCCATTTGTTAGTACAAACTTGTGGCATATCCTTAATTTGGAATTATGAAACCTTTTCTCTCAATAAACTTTGGTTAACCAAAATAAAGCTCTTTGCAATAAATAAAATCACTGAGAAAGAGAAAGCGAACACCCGATAGAACAATCTATTGTGGAAAATATAAAGCAGCAGTCAAAGATGCTGATTAAGTCTTTTCTTGTTCCCTTCCCCACAAGTAAAAGGACAGTCTACCATGTCATGTCAATCAAATGCTTAAAGCGACATAATACAGCATTTCTTGAGAATGAAGATACATAAACAGCACTCCTATGGCACATTCTATACACACACAAAAAAAAAGGAACTATGATCGTTTTTAAACTGCATATAATGTTTTAAGATACACTCATACACCTTAGAATCAGGCTTGTTATTTGAGAAGAACAAACTCAAGAACAATTCTACTCAAAAGAAAATTGATTGCCCTCTAAACATTAAGACCATAGGTAGAAAGATTTTCAGAGAAAAGTCTTAATTACCACCAGTGGTACGAGGAAAACCAAAGCACAAGGTGGAAGTGGGTGAAGTAGCACCATTTTCTTCATTGACTCCCCTGAAATCAAAAGATGATCCAAAGCTTAAGAACATCTTACTCCTTCTGCAAACAAGTTTAGAGGAATCTGATGATGGTGATGACAATGAAGAGTATGAGGATGACAATGAGGAAGTTGAGGATGATGACATAATGATTTTCTTAAGATTCATTTTTGGGAGCAATGCAAGCAAAAGATTGGATCTTGAACTCTTCTTCTTCTGTGGCTTTTTGCAGGCATTGATAGTGTTGAAATGATAGGAAGGTGGAGGAGTTAAAGGAGGGAGAGTGTCCTCAGAGAATGTGTACTTGGGTTTACCAGGCTGAGATTCCCACATAAATGGGACACCAATGTTCACTCTGAAAGATGAGTTAGACATGGAACTTTCCTTTGTAAGTAGCCTGCAGAAGAACTTGTCATCTTGCTTGATTTGAAGGACACTCTTTTGGGGTAACTCAGGTTTAGCATTAAACATGTTTGTTTGATTGGAATTGTACTAAGTTTCACTGACTCTGAATGGGTTTGCACTTTGCAAGAGAAGGAGATAAGAAAAAGGTTTGATATTGGTTTCTGGTTTAAGTAAGAGTGCCAACTACAAATGAAGTCACCATCATAGGTTGCATATCTTTTTGTATGCAACACTGTAGTCAACCCATGCAACTTAATAATTGATGGCAATTGGTATTAGAACTCACTTTAAATGACTAAGCTTCCAATTTTTGGTACTTAACTGTTTTGACCATTTCTCTCAGCATATTTTACTTTTAATTTCAATAGAGAAAATGTGAGGTCCATGCTAGCTTTGTTTTCTAGCTAGTATATTGGGTTTGGCCCCACACATTTATGAAGGAATAAAGTGTTTACCAGGAGAAAATAAAGTTGGGAGAACCGTATCATTATAGGGTTTGGATATTTAAAAAATAAAATAAAAAAGTTTAACACGAGAAGGAGTGCATTGTGCTCAAGATAGGAAATAATTATTTAAATTAGTCATCTATTAATGAATTACTGAAATTTTTTGTATGATGTAGTCATGATAAAATGAAATATATGAGGATTTATTTTGTTAACTTTTTTATGAAGTAGTATTAGAAATAGTTATTTATGAAGAGAACTATGTCAAAATTTGATATGATATTATCGTTAAGGATTTTGTGCCTTTTCAAATATTGAATTGGGGGGGATGCAATCATAATTTGTAAATATCTTATAAAATAAAGAGATAAATATCAAATTTTCACGATCATATCACATTTTAACATAGATGATCCATTTTAAAAAGATAGCTAACATGGGACACACGTAGTACATTAAGGATACTACTTTTCTTTCATCTTGCTTTGTGATTATTTTGTTTTAAATGCTACCCGCACATCCAGCTTCCATTCATGAAGACCGAATAAATTGATATGGTTTCTTTAGTATTAAAAGGACTCAGATACGAGGACATGGTACAATGACACAGAGTGAGACTGAACTAAATGAGTCAGAGGGGGGATGACCTACCCTACGGTCCATATCCATTATTATATTATAGGGAAAATTTTATTTTTATCAATTGTGATTTTATTGATTTTATGTAGTTATAAACTTGTTATTTAGACTCATTGTACTTAAAAATTTATCATTTAATCTCATGTGATTTCAAATTTTTGATTACACTTATTGTAATAACTAGAGGTGGCAATATGGGTTGAGTCCGGCGGGTCAACTCGCTAAAACGGGGCGGGTTGGGTTGAGATTTTTAACCCACCAACCCACCTCAACCCGCCCCGCCTAGAAGTGGGTCAAAACGGGTTCAACCCGCCCCGCCGGGTTTTAAATTTTTTTATTATTTTTTTTATTTTTTTACAATTAGGTAGTACTTCATTAGTACTTAAATTTTTGTGATATTCAATTTTTTTTTATCTTAGTACTTTCTAGAAAAAATAAAGAATAACAATTTTATTTATGACAAATGTTATCTATTTATAAATTCCTAAAGAATGTTTGACAAATATTAGTATACATTTAAGATTGAGACTAAAAAAAATATAGAGAAGTGTGAAATAAAATAAAATAATATTAAAAAAATTCATAAAATATAATTTATATTTTAATCAAATTTTTTCTAATTGGCGAGTTTGTGGGTTGACCCGCCAACCCGCCAACCCACCATAAAACGGGGTGGATTCATTTTTACAACCCATATCCCCGTTTTTGGCAGGTTGGTGGGGGCGGGTCGGGGCGGGTCAACCCAAATTGCCACCCCTAGTAATAACAAAATTATATCACTTAGACCCCTTTTGGTCTTATAAATATAAAACTATTTATTTTTTCTAAATTTTATTTTATATAATTATGATATTTTTAATTTAATATTTATTTATTAGAATTAAACTAATAATTAAATATTAAATTAAAAATTATTTAAAGTTATTTATTTTAAAATTAACTCATACATTATCTTAATTTTTTAATTTATTTTAAAAATATATTTTAAAATTAAAAAACTATTATTTAAGATAAATTAAATACGTATAATCAAAATAAGATATTCATTTTCTTTAGAGAATTTTATAACGATATCGGGTAAAAAATGATAAAATAAAATAATATTTGATTTGAATTTTTTTTCATAATAAAAATAATTCAATTTTTTAAAATTTATTTTTATTTATTTGCTATAAATGCATTAGATGAGGATATAAAATAAAAAAGAGGAAAAAAAATTATATGCAAAAAATTATAAGAATTTAATTGATATTATTACTAATTAAAATTAATGTAAATTTAAATAATTAATTTGATAATAATATACAATATGATAATAATATAAGATAAAAGTTGAGAAATATACAATATCATCTAACTTGAATATGGATGATGTACAATATCATCTAACTTGAATCTAGATTACTTAGGTTTTGTTTGGAAGTTTGGAGGGGAAGAAAAGAAAAAGAATGAGATCCAAAGGGGAGGGAGCGGAGGAAAGGAAGAAAATTGAAGGGTATTTTCTTTCTTTGTTTGGGAGTAAAAAATGGTAAGGGAGAAATTGAAGGGTTAATAAGATAATTTTATGATTTTACAAATTCACCTTTTTTTAAAAATTAATATAATTATTATATTTAAAAAATAAAAATAAATAATAATTAAATACTAGATGATTATAAATAGTATATATTTATGTGTGTGTGTGTATATATATATATATATAAAATGGATTATTTTGCTCTCTTTTTTTCCGCCAACATTTGCCTACTATTTTTAAACATCATTAGATCATAATCTTAATAGAAAAGAGAAATAATAAAGATAGTTGATATTATGATCTAACGGTATTGGATAGTGATGAAAAGATAGGCAAAAAAAAAAGATATTCATATATATATATATATATAGAGAGAGAGAGAGAGAGACTGACTGTGTCTTAACTATATATATGTATATGTTAACACTCTACACATTTGAGTGCTTAAATTGTATCATGTTCAGAAAATAATTGGTTCATATGTTATAATTTTCACTTCCTCAAACAAATTCACCTTTAATTTAAGATTAACATTCTCTTAAAATTGAAATTTCACTCTTCGTATATAAATTAAGGAAAAAATATTTATCACCTTAAAGACACAAGTTTGTGTTATTTTATGTGATTGATGGTTTTTGATCTTCTCTCTCGTCCACAATACTCTCATTTTCTCTTTTCTCCTAATTTTGTGGAGATAATATAAAAATGGTTTAATATTTCTATTTCTGTTGCAGAAAATAATTTCTTTCACATTCACATAAAAGTGAATTGGTCTCACTATTTTTTCTCTGTCTTCTTTTTACTATGGGATTCACTCATTTTTATATGAGTGTGGTATAGAAATTATTTCTGCAGTAAAAGTAGAAATATTTTTTCTATAAAAAATCACTAAATATATACCAAAGTACAATAGTTTCACTGAAAATGATACAAACTTATGTCTTTTAAAATGAGCAATATTTTTCCTATATAAGCCTAATTTCTAATGAAACGTTAAATTAACCTTTAATTTTAATTTTTTGCTTGTGGGTAGTTGGATTATCAGCATCGATCAGGTAGGAGAAACACGTGCTCATGCATGATGCAAACATTTCATCCACCCTCATTTTCACACTTTAATACATCCCAACCAGCGTCCCCAATCTAATAATTATGTCTTATAATCTTAGATAAATTGTTCAAACTCTCAATTTACAAGTGGTTAATGTGTACAATCATTTAGTCTTTTAATCTTTTTATTTTACTTCTATTTTATAATTTAAGCATTAAACACCATGTTAAAACGAATGTCATGGTAATTCTTAGGCACATTTAATTTATTTATTTTTTTGGTAAACTAGGCACATTTAATTTATTAAAAGTTGATGGATCTAATAATTTAAGGGGAAGGATATTGTAACAATCAATTAGTGTTACTACCAATCAATTTCACCGTTAGATCGATTATGTTGATCCAACGGTTATATTTATTTTCATCTTTGTATGGTTATGATTCTTTGTATTTAATATTTTATATTTATTTTTACCTTTGTATGATTATGATTTTCCATATTTAATGCTTTCACATTAAATACGGGGAATCATAACCATACAAAGATGAAAATAAATATAATCATTGGATCAACATAATCGATCTAACGGTGAAATTGATTAGTAGTAACACTAATTAGTTGTTACAATATCTTACCCTATAATTTAAATTACAGAGGGTAACAGTTCTATATAAAACCATCATGCTTTTGAAGACCAATGGCCATTCTACAGACAAGTTTTAAGATAAAATATCAGATGAAATGGGTTCATATACTTTTATTTAAGTTTATTTTTAAGTGAGTAAGAACATAAAATATATCCTGATTAATTGATTATAACATATTAGATGAACTACAAGTGATTTTGTTATTATTTACTAACTTCAAATGCTTTTACAATGCAGTAATCAACTATATTCCTTGTTCCATAATTAATTACAAGCCATAACCCATTGGATCTATTGAACCATTATTAGGTGAAACAAACGGGCCCAACTCAGTTCCTGTTCAGCCCATTCTACTTCCTGCTAAGCCCAACAGACCAGACCAGCATGAGGATCAATTTGCAGTCACTTGATCTGTCTTAACTAGCATTAGTTGGATTTTAATTTGTATATATATATTTTTTGAGTAAAGTACTTCTTCAGTCAAATGGAGATAAGTTATCTCCGGTGAGTCTAAAATAATATCGTTTTGAGATTAAAATCAAGATATTTTTGTAATTCTAATATATTACAGGGTTATATTAATTTTTATCATTATAATTTTTTAATCTTATAACCACAAAACGACGTCGTTTTGAGCTCATTAAAAATAATTTTATCTTTAGTGACGAGAGAAATACTTTTTCCAATTTTTATTGAATGTAATTAGTTAGTTGGTCTATTGAATGTAATAATTTATTTATCAGTAGTAGTTAGTTGGTTTATTGAA